TTTTTTCCTATTTTCTTCTTTGCATTACTAATTCTGAGTTCAACATCAGTCATAATGTGCCATATCTCAAAACATAAATGACACCGTGAGTAAAAACCCAAACTACCCCCTCAGTCCTTTGATCATTCAAAATAGCACACCTGTGTTTGATGTTTGAACTAAATGCGTACACACACGCGAGCTTTGATGATTGTCTTAAATGGGACAAAGACTTTAAGACTTAACAATTAATAGCGATTGTTCGTTAACGTGAAGTCGGAGCGCGCTGACTCTGTGTTTTGCAGGTTAAATGCATGCATTTGGTGCACGCCGGATGCCTCGTCTGACTTTGTGATGCAAAGATGACCAACTCTTGATAGGGTAAAGTTACAACATCTTCTCCAAAAGTTAAAACCGTTCACATTTGTGAGAGATATTTCATCATGGCCTCTTTAGGGAGGCAGGGCTGGAGTCTCAGACAGGAGCGAGCACGTGTCACGCTGCTCAGACTCACGGCGACTCAGACTGCTGCTAAATTGGCTAAATCCAGCCGTGGGTTCGTGGGTCCTGAGGGAGATCATTTAGGGGCCTCACCTGCAGGGGCACCTGTAGGTTTTAGTCTATTAGTGCTTCGCTGAGACTCACGGCCCTGTTTACAGACAGAAGTGCCTACTGCTCGAGCGACGGCACGCCAATCAGCCAATAGGAGGCTTTGGATTTGAATACGATTCGTCTCAGTGCTGTAGATGATAAACGCTCTGCATGTGAACAGCTGAAGGCCTGATTTGCATATAACACACAGCAAACGGTTTAATGGTGGTTTTGGTTACTGTGAACCTGATTTCCGTTTCAGTTTAGAATTTTTCAGACATGCGTGTGTTGTTTCTTGTTGTCTTGTTGTCTTGAGTTATACATTTTGAGGTTCTGGCATCAGGTTTAAACGTGCATTAAAAAAGTTTTGAGTTGAAATATTAGAAATTTTGCTGTTAGTTTTGTTAACTGGTAGCTGAAGTGACACAGCAAGCATTTTGTCATGTTAACAGTTGTAACAATTCGATTTTTCAGATTTATTTTTTATTTTTTTTGTAAATGTTTTTTTGTTTCTAAGTATTTGAACATACATGCATACATACAAACATACACACACACACACAAATAAAATATATACATAAGTGTACATAGATATATGCAACAATTTAGAATTATTTCCTATTTTATTGTTTTAAAATAAATATAAACTATTTTTGAAAAACATTTAAAAAGACATTAAAAAACTAACAAACTAAATAATAAATGACAAAAATGCCACAAAATAACTGAAACTTTCACTAAAATTAAAACAGAAAATATAAACATAAATTGAGATAAACATATCTAATTCAAAATATTATCAAACCAGAAGTATATAACCAAAGTTATAATAGTCAGTGATACTAAAATAACACTGCAGTGCAAAAGCATATATGTTGAGTAAGAGTAGTATTCAGTATATACTATTTTGAATTGTTTCCTATGTGGCACACAGTGCAGATTTGCTGCTTATATTTAGCATGTGTGTCAGTTTAATTAAACGACATGTTATATAATGCCAGAATGGAGACGTTATGACTTTCTAGTTAATTAGAAGTTGGTTGTTTTATACATGCGGTTTGACCCATATTGCAGCTCAGACAGCGTGTTCCTCACTCAACAGGGCTGTTCAATTTACCTTCGTTGAAACTGAAACCAGAGGTTGACGGCTAATCAGTTAGTTAACGTGTAAACTTATACTCACAGTTGTGTGACGAGTACATTCGTTCATCCAACTCCAACTTTTTATTTACTGTCATTTAATGTGGTAAAAGAGAAAGATGAAAGATTACAGTTTAATGTGGTTTTTAATGTGTAGCAGGTGCATTATGTTATAATGTTATATATGTGTTTAATGCAGTCTAATGTTGTATGTAGAGAGCCACAAACAATTTATAGGGAGAATACAGGTAAAATTGGATATTTTTTCTCCATTTGAGACATTTCCATTTCCAATGACTGGGGGGAAAAATTATCCTGAATATAATATAAATATTGTAATTTGTAAAATACATTTAATAATATATCATTATTTTATTTAAAAAATAAAACAAAAAATAGAACATTATATTCATTTATATACTATATTAAAATATGAATAAAACATTTACTGAATGTCATCAAAGTCATAAAAGCTAATAATTAAAGCACAATTATGACAGTAATTATGTCTAGGTAAAACAAAATATTTGTATACTCCTAAAAAAGAACCAGAAAGATGCAATTAAAAGAAAGTAGTGTATACTTTTTGTTTTTTTGACTTGAAAAATTGAGTGGTGTGATTTGACGCATCTGACAGTGTTGTAGTTTTTGACACGAAAGCTTTTAGCTGATTCTGTGAGTCAAAGTTGGCATTTCTCATGCATTTATCCTACTCATGAATGTTTATTATCTTTCTTTAGTTTGTAGTTTAACGTAACATCTTTCAGATTTCTTGAAATGAGACCATTTTATTTTAATAATAATAGTAAAAGTGTCTGCTTTGCTACTTGCGTCCGGTCAAAAATGAACTAAAAATTCCAAACGATGTGAATAAGCAAAGATTTTTCAAATTATGCCACAATCAAAATCAAAAAGTTCAATCAGCCAATCAATTCACTGCAAATGTTGTCTGCATTTCTGTAAGCAGACAGAGAGATTTTACTCTCAGAAATGGCAGACCGCGGTACCTTTTCACAAATACAGCTCGTCTTTGTGTGGAAAAAAGTGTTTCCCCTTAAAATCTATTGTTTCAGAATCCATAAAACTATTACAGTCTCTCTCTGCCTCGTTTGTGTTTTTTGGCACTGTGACATTTTTCCGCCGTGTCTTGTCTCTTTAAATCATGACTCGATGCTTTAACATGGACAGGATTTCCTAAATGACATCAAGAATCCACCTAGTTATGTAATTTATGACAGATTCATCACGACCTGCTTTTCAACCAGCACAAGTTACTTAATACCAACGCCAGTGTTTTACTGGGGGATTCTGGGTAAAATGTGATTTCAGTGGACTTCTTTGTCCTGCCGTGAACGTGACGAATGTAAAGTGTGAAATTTAAGAGATGGAGACGTGTGTCTATTATTAAGTTAAAAACACACACACATGCAACATTATTTGTAGGTATTCTCAGTTAGTTGTCATAGAAACCTCAGACAGGTGATTCTGCGTGGACCTAAAACAGATTCCTGTATTAGACACACTTAAAGCGTTTTCAGACCAAACCGAAATATTCTCAATAAATGTTCTTCAGTGGTTCAGCTAAATCCTGTAAAGCCTGACATATGAAATAATAGTTCAAAAAAGCTCTATCCATCATCTATCTTAGTATTCATTTGATATTATTTATTGTATAATAATAATTATAATATATAATTATAATTATATTTATATATTATTTTATTATAATATCATAAAACCTAATTTTTTATTTAGTATATAAAATATATTTTAAATATTCTATATCTATTTTTAGTGTTTTTAGTATCTAATTTTATATCTCTTTTACATTTATTCTATATGCATGTATCTATGTGTGTGTATGTATATTTATGATTTCAGAAAAAGAAAAAAACTTTATGTCCAAGTTAGTTGTCAAGTACTCTAATACAAATTAAGGACAGACCACAGTCTTAAACCAGGACCTTGTTCAACAAAGTTAAAGAAAACATAATAAAGTGCGGCGTGTAAGTTTGGCCTGAGTTCTGCTGTATATTTGAGCTGCTTTTTACCCGTAGACTGATTCACCCAGCGACAGATCAGAACGAACGTAAATGACACTTAAAGAGCCTTGTTAGGATTACACACAGCCGTTGTGTAACGTCTGCTGTAGTTCATCTGTTTGGTAATTATATGAAGCAAGACGCTACAGACACCTGCATCACGCACTTCAGCTGCTACAAACAGTAATTTACACTGTTTTTAATCTGCGTTCAGCCCTCTTCAAACACACACACACACACACACACACACATACATTCACCTGTCACCTTATGACACCCTTCAAAACCTTTAAAAACATAAGGGTAATCCAATGTCCGTCTAAAAATGAACAATTCTAATGAATTTAGTTGCATTTGCTTTTGTGTGTTTGGTGGATTTAGATAAAGTAAGGTGACGTTCCCATCACAGCTTTGACACAGATCTGTTTTTGATAATAAAAATCACAGACTGACATTTTCATATCTGATCTGGGCCACTTTTGTGTGGAAATAAATCTGATACGTATCTGATTTTTGCGACGTGACGTCAATGTGTATTTTTTTTAACTTCCAACCCAAAAGTGACTGTAATCGATTTACACTTTCATAAATCATAGTTTATAAATAACACTATATTAAATATATATATATTATATTATATGACATTTATGACACTTATTTTAAACAATCACAGTAGCAGTTAAAATGTTTAGCTTAAAATAGAAATGTAAGTCCATAGATGGAAACCCAAACTTCTTCTAATTTCATAAAACCTAAAAATGTGATGATATATTTAATGGTATTATGAAAACTGTTTGTTAAGATGACTATGTGTGACTATGTGGGTCAATCGCCTGTTTAGATCAGTGGGCTGCATTAAAAAGGTCATGAGAACAGCCTCTCAAAAAATGAATTGGCACTTTCTTGCATCGAATTGTTTTTTAGAAACTCTTTCGATAACACTTTGCTTTCACACACATCAGAGCCAGCGGCGTCTGGTGTAACTGTCGATTTGCTGTGATTACTTGTTTGTGTTAGTTTGCGTTTACAGCGGGCCAAAACTCCACACGCTCATTTTCTGGAGACGACATTTAAAGAATGGACCAAATAATTACGTGAGTCATCAAATTACTGCCCACAGACGTGCTGTTCTATACCTGAGATGCACACAAACAAACATAAACAGACCTCGGACGCAAACGTCCTGCGTAATCCCACTCAAACGCACACTTGCAAACGCACAGGTGAACTGGGCTGCATCACACTCACCCGTCCAGATCCTCAGGTGTGTGTTACTGTATGTGTGATTTATTCCAGGTCTAAGTGTCGTTTCAGATCCGAGCCTGTCTCATCTCCGTCTCTGAGGGACGCAAAGACGTCTGTCCATCCCGTCTGCCCGAGCGTCTCCTCTCCATTCACAAAAAACACAGCCGAGCATCCAACTACAAGCCCCAAACAACGGCACACGCGGACAGACAGGGAGGTTTGTGTGGACGCTGACAGGAAGGAGGAGAGAGAGAGCGAGAGAAAGAGAGAGAGAGAGAGAGTGACATTTTTCCGCCGTGTCTTGTCTCTTTAAATCATGACTCGATGCTTTAACATGGACAGGATTTCCTAAATGACATCAAGAATCCACCTAGTTATGTAATTTATGACAGATTCATCACGACCTGCTTTTCAACCAGCACAAGTTACTTAATACCAACGCCAGTGTTTTACTGGGGGATTCTGGGTAAAATGTGATTTCAGTGGACTTCTTTGTCCTGCCGTGAACGTGACGAATGTAAAGTGTGAAATTTAAGAGATGGAGACGTGTGTCTATTATTAAGTTAAAAACACACACACATGCAACATTATTTGTAGGTATTCTCAGTTAGTTGTCATAGAAACCTCAGACAGGTGATTCTGCGTGGACCTAAAACAGATTCCTGTATTAGACACACTTAAAGCGTTTTCAGACCAAACCGAAATATTCTCAATAAATGTTCTTCAGTGGTTCAGCTAAATCCTGTAAAGCCTGACATATGAAATAATAGTTCAAAAAAGCTCATTTGTTAAAATGGAACACTTTAATCAACCTTCAGACGAAAAGTTTGCATGTGTGTTTTATGTTGAGTATCATATTTGAACCATCAGGCTTTTATGGCTCATATAGTCTGATATAGTGAGAATACGAGAGAAAGAGAGAGAGAGAGAGAGAGAGAGAGAGAGGGAGAGGAGGTGGATCTACTCTAGAGCAGCGATGTAGTTTTTATAGCTGGGTGGGAAGCTCAGGATAATAATACCCATCCTCCTCCACAACACAGTTTAAGCTTAGTATGCAATAAAGCCCATGGTGCACAAACCCTCTGATTTGGGGTCAGACAAAATGAATTTTTAGTTTTATTCGTGAAGGGTTTGCAACTCGAACTTGGGCACAAATGAAGGAAGAGAGAGAAAAGTACCAGTTCTATATATGCGTCTGCTGTGACTTCAGAAGATGAATTAGACGAAGGAACAAGGTGGAAGACCTGAAGTTCAGAATTTAGTGTAGAAACCAGTCAGTTTCACAATTAACTACATAGTAACTGCAAGAAACTCTTTGAAGTAAACATGAAATATTGAAGTAGAAAGATTGAAATAGTGTTTTCTTGTAAAATGTGCTGTGATAATCTCCAATAATTTATATCTTCAAAAATATATATATATATATATTTTTGGCAAATGTGTGCTGCTTCTATACAAACTCAACATGATCCTGTGGTGTTGAAAGTATATATATATATATATATATATATATATATATGTGTGTGTGTGTGTGTGTGTGTGTGTGTGTATGTGTATAAAAAAAAAAAACTTCCTTCAAATGTATAAATGACATTAAACCAGATGTTTTTGTTCAGATGTCCAGCTAAAGATGCCAAAGTTAGTCAATCTGTTTTCTTTAAGTGTTTATAGAACCTTTAGACAAAATGTATAAAAAAAAAGGTTTGTTTTTGTTTAAAATCATATTTGCTCCATCAGGCTTTTATGGCTTGTAGTCGGATATAGTGAGAATATGCAGGAAAAAAACAGCTGTTTTATTCAGAGACTCAAAATGAGCAAAAATATGAATCTGCTGCAGATGCTGATATTTATATATTGAGATTCTGATGCTTGTGATGTAAATCAATTAGATATTTATAACAGTAGAGCAGATACTAACATAAAATGATCTAAATATCAGTCGTTGCTCTATATCTCCAATAATGTGTCTTAGTAAGATGAGATTTAAATGATCAAAACATATAATGCAATGCTGATTGAGAGATGAACAAATAAATGTTCCTCAAAAGCCTGATGATCATATTTGTCACATTTGAACATGATTTGTGCGAAAATGATGTATGATTTAATCAACTTTAGACCAGTAAGTGTTCATCTTGAAATATTACTAACAATATTAAAGTTATTCTTACGTTTCCTTGATAAAAATCAGTAAAGATTTGAAAGCAAAAAGACACGTGAAGCACCAGCTGAAGGAAACGATTGATCAGACAACAGAAGGAATGGAGTAGATTGTGTATGACAGGTTTAACAGCAAAGTTTTGATCATTTAGAAACGTGCATATCAAGAAGCTGCGATTTTCATGCGTATCTTTCAGTGAAGCACGGTTCTGTGATCAGCAGTAAATCGCCAGAGGGCGCTCTCGCGCTGAAACTCCAAATACTTGCAGAAGAAACCCAGAAAATGCCTATCGCTGCAGCTGAATAAACAGAAGATTCAACTGCTTTCATTGATTCAATGTGACTAATAAACACATGACTACGGCAATATACGGTTTATCTGAGTTCTTATTATTATAATTTTAATTAAAATAAAGTATATTTATAATGCAATGTCTTTATCACTGCTTAAATACTATGAAATATGTTGCGTGCTTTATTCTGTGTAAGAAGTCACATCATCTCACAGAAGGATTTATTTCAAACACTCGACTGACATTATGAAGTGAGTTTGGAGTAAAAATATGTTATTAAATGTGGTATTTTCACATGCTTTCAGATGGAACAGCATTTACTTCACAGAGCCGTGGCTCACTGAGAAGCTATGCAAACAGCTGTCATTATCGCGCCTGCTGATTACAGAACCGGCTTTTTTAACAAAATGCGCATGACAATCGCATTCGATTAATCATGCAGCCCTAATATCAAATATGACACAGTAGGATTTAGAGGGTTAAAAAAACATTTTTGGCTTTGGACATGAATGAAGTTGTTGATGTGTTGTCGGTGTTTTGGTATGTGGGATCTTTAAAACATTAGTAAATTGATAATTTTCTAAATAACTACAAATTAAAAATATTTAGTATATTTGTAATTTTAATATAAAACATTTTTAATTCTTATTTTTAAAAACATTTTATGTTATTTTATGTTTATTTTGTTTTTTTATGTTTGATATTTTAGTATAATTGAGATGACAGATTTATTAATATTTTGAGTTTTTATTTTTACATCTTCTGCTTTCATTTAATTGTAGTTTTTGTCATTTTTATTTGTGTCTATTTTTTTTTTTCAGTTTTAGTTTTAGTTTGCTAAAGTAAGTTTAAGTTGTTTACTTCAGTTAACGTTTATTTTATTTTCGGTAACCAAAATTTATATATATACATTATATATATATATAGTTTTGGTTAACTATAATAACCCTGTTTAGCATGAAGATCAAATTCCTCAGAAATCTTTTGCAGTTAAAATGCAGTTAGAACTATTTATTTATTTATTTTACAGCAGCATCCAGACGAAGACGAGACACGTTCAGGACTGATATTCTCTTGGTGACCTTGTGATGTCTCATTTCAGGTAGGGTCAGATATTTCTTTCTTTCTTTCTAGTTTACCAAGTCAAGCCTCTCTAGTACTGTTGCTCATAGATACATTTTACATTTAGATGTATAGATGAATTCAAACCCCTATCACAGAGTGCTGCAGTGTTTGTGCTCCAGACATCAATGATTCCTCAGCTTTGTACTTACTAACTTTGTACTGTAATAATTGATTAAGTGATTTTTTACCTAGCAACCACACAAACATCCTATCATCTGCATAGCAACACCCTGGCAAGCACTCACAACTCCATAGCATTTTGCATAGTCAAGCACCAAAAACTTTTATTTCTTTAATCTCTTGATACTGTGATCGAATACGATGCATGTATTCGTCAGGTTTATATTCCGTTTTCTTAGCCTTAGGATCTGCAGTGTGGGATGCCGTGCACAGATGTATTCTGGGAGTGGGGGCTTTGGTGCTCCAGGGTGTGGGCTTGTGGGAAAAATTTGTCATCTCTGCCCACTTACAGACAAACCCACCAACTAGGGTGGGAAACAGTCGTCCAAGGACGACACACACACATAGAGAGCCCAAAATATGCGACAAGGTCATCAGTGAACCCCTCCACACTACAACTCCTGTTTTTACTGGAAGTGTTGTGTCTTTTGGACGGTTTCATCTGTGTTATCTGCTATCTTCTACACGCACACACACACACACACACACACACACACACGCACACATATATATAGTAGACGTTTTTGAAAAAGGTGCTTTATCTGTGATTTTGATTCGGTGAGTCTTTCAGTTCGTAGCAGCAGCAGCAGCTTAAAAAGAGAATTGTATCTGCTATCTTCTACACGCACACACACACACACACACACACACACACGCACACATATATATAGTAGACGTTTTTGAAAAAGGTGCTTTATCTGTGATTTTGATTCGGTGAGTCTTTCAGTTCGTAGCAGCAGCAGCAGCTTAAAAAGAGAATTGTGGGATGTACACATGCATACACATGGTTTATTGGGTTAAAAGTACATGTTTAAAGCTTACATATTTAAAAGTTGAACTATTTTTTTATATTTAGTAGTATTAATTGCATAATTAAAATAAAATAAGCATGCAGTTGTATTTTTCTATTTCATATCTCAAAGATTTGACATTTTTGTGCAACAAAATGAAGCGCAAATAATGTGCATAAGTGCAGCTTATGTTTAAGTTTACATATTCAAAAGTTTAATTACATTGTAATTACATAATTAGAATAAAGTAAATACAATATCTTGCTCTTTTTCATATCTCAGCAAAGATTTGAGATTTTTGTGCAGCAAAATAGAGTGCAAATAAAGTGCATTAGTGCAGCTGAAGTTCATATATTTGTGTATATGTCTGAGCTGAAGTCATAATTATGTAATTAAAATAAAGCAAACATGCAATTTATTTCTCTTTCGTAATTATGTAATTAGAATACATGTTTAAAAGTTTAACTATTTTGTTCCTATTTAGAAGTTGTAGTCATAATTAAAATAAAGAAAACAATTTATTTGTATTTTTCATATCTCAAACAAGATTTGTGATTTTTGTGCTAGTGCGACAAAAAGAAGCACAAATAATGTACAATAGTTCAGTTGATGTTTAAAAATTTACACATTTTAAAATTAAACTG